ATCTGTTTTATGGATTCCATTTGTTTCCTATGTTGGGATTCCATCATGTTCCTCAGATCCTCTATTTTTTTATTTGTGTCCTCTCCAGATTTATTAATCATGTTTTGCACTATGAGCACCATCTCTGCTGTCATCTGAGAAATTATTTCTGATTTCATTTTTTCCAGATCCTCTTGTTGCGAGTTGAGGAAGTGCAGGTTGTTGAGTATCAGAGTGTTCCATCTCATTTCCCTTTGGGGTTGCTGTAGGTGATCTTGAAGTCTGATTTTGAGACTTGTTTACATGTCTTCTCAATTCTGGGGGGAGGTGCATGCTGGTGCCCTCTTGGCTCACCTCCTCTGTGCTGGAAGCAGTGGTACATTGGCCTGAAAGCCTTCTCTTTTGCACTGGGAGTGGTACCATGTCGACCTGGAAGCCTCCTCCTCTGAAGTCTTTCCTCCTTTGTGTATGTCAGGTATTTTGTCCTGAAAAGGTGACTAATGCACATGTTACTGCATATCTCTAAAGATATGGATATGAATATATGAATTATATCTTTAAAATCCCAGTTAAAAAGTAGTAATTATTTCCTAAGGCAGGCTAGATTTTACACAAATTTGAAGTTTTGGAGGGGAGCATAAACCAAGTTTTGTGGCGGTTTTTTAGAAAGAAGAAACTTGACAGTTAAGGGAGATATTTTTCAGCTTAGTAAAGATTAGTTTTTGGTGATGTTAGAGATGATTTCGCTTCATGTAATTTGTCTGTGTGTGTTTCTCCATAGATTTAAATGGCTTCTCCATAGATTTAAAAATCAAAGCTGGACTTGCGTTGTAGCTCAGTGGCACCACGCCTGCCTGGCAAGTGCAAGGTCCTGGTTCAATCCTTGTTATGGGGGGATGGGTTTAAAGCTTCCTAGCTACAGAGAAACAAATTGGCCCTTTAGTAAACCCTTCCTTAAACTCAACTTCAGTAAACCCTTCTTTAAAGCATTCTTTTATAATGTGAATAATCAGCCCTTAATGGACTTTCTAAATTTGGACTTTTAAAAGATGCTATTTAATTATAATAAACAAGCAAATGCCAAACAGGCTAGCTCTTTGCTGCAAAGAGCTAAGCAAAAAAGGATGCAGATTTCTAAAGTTGTTTGAGCAGCATTGTCAGCAAGTGTCTAAATGCTCCCCCGAATCTGCACCCCCTAAGGAAATGATCTTTAAAGGTAACACAAAGAACTATAGGAAAGGCAGGTGACAGACCAGAGGCAAGCTTCACTTTCCTATAGGGAAAGGTGTGGTCCAGGCTAGTTTTAGAGTTGCTAATGGCAGTGAAATGATGTAGGCAAAGCCAATCCTGGAAGTTGTGGGTTCCAGTCAAGCCTGCCTCTCTGTGCTGTCATTTGGGGACACTGTGCAGGGGTGTGGGCCACAATGATTTTGGTTGCAGTGAATGTGCTCTGTGGGCCACCAGCTGGCCTTTCTCAGTGTAGTCACACACTCAAAATGACTGTAAGTCAAATCATCGTATTTTCCTTTAACTACATTTTATTTTCAATAAAAATGAACAAAGAATTGCATGTGAAGTGTCTATCCCGGCCAGTCCTTGGGGCCACCCATGACCTTGATGGTGAGGTGCACTCGCCATGTGCCAGGCACAGGCTCTGGACGACTCTGTGCATCCTCACTGCAGCCCCAGGTATGTGGACTCGAGCCTCACCTCCTGACATGCTATCTTCGATGGCTTCCAGAGGTGCACACCCCGCTTCCCACACGAGGACTGCTCGCCCAACCTCGCACTTGCCTGTGCCCAGTGCCACCTCACTAGGGCCAGGATTTGGGAAAACAAACCACGCCGCAGTGTTAGCACTGTCTCCCTCCTTGGGGCCCACACGGAAAGTGTGTTTTGAGCATATTGTGATCAGCTTCTGAATGTGGCATTGAAGGACTCAGCCCCTCCAGATCTCTGATGCCACCCCCTCTGGATTTCACTCCTTCTGTCCCTCTCCGCCTGGCACCTTCTGCCTGCTGGAGGGCGAGCACTGCACCCCTCACCCCTGACCCGAGGAGCACACGAGCCACAGCCTGACCTGGACGATGAGCCTAATGTTAGCTCCTTTCTCCTTACTAGCAGCTGTGGCATGGATTTTTTTCCATGAAAGAATTTTTGTTACTGCGAGGGGGTAAAATAAAAAGAGCAGAGAACTGTATAGATCTACAAAAAGTGGGTATTTTACTTGGAGGTTTTGTGTTTAAGTAGTTACCATCAACCCCTTAGGCAATTTTCCTCTGGCTACTTTTAAGTAGTTGAGCAGGTTTTTCTCTTTTTAAAATTTGCATCCATTTTATTTATGTGTGTATAAACAAGAGGCAGTTGAGAGCCGTGGCTGAGAGCCCAGGGTCTGGAGTTACAGAGACAGATCTGGATCAGACTGTGCCATGCGGAGTCGTTTTTGTTTGTTTTTTTTGTTTTTTGGTACCGGGGATCGAACTCGGGTCCTTGCGCTTGAGCAGCAGGCAGCGGAACCACTGAGCTAAATCCCCGGCCCTGCCATATGGAATCTTGATGACCTTGAGCCTGTAGCTGGACCACTGCTCTCCCCACCTGTCTTATCTGTACAGGAATGAGTGTAACTGAAAGCAATCAGAAGTTACCTGATACATAGTAAGCCCTAAATAAATGGTGGCCATGGTGCTGGTATTCTTATTGTCAGTTTTTAGAAATACTGAATGCTGAGGATAGAAACCAAAGAATACAAAACAAAGTGTAAAACTGAACTTCTTTCAGAAGTAAAGTTTTTTCTCTCTCTTGATTGGGAATTATTCCTAAAACTTGATAATGTGTAAGAGTCAAGAATCTTTTGGGGGCTGGAGATGCACTTCCTTAGTAGGGCACTTGCCTCATGTGTATAAGGCTGTGGTTCAGTCCCTAGTACTGGAAAAAAATTTATGCCCTGCCCCCCACCAACTTTTACTTCAAAGTAAGCTTTGAATATTTATTCACTCACTCATTCAGTCAGTCAACATTGAGCATGGAGCTGAGCTAAGGGCCCGGCATGTGGGTATTTTACACCTGAGTTGCACGCTTCCAGCTCATGGAATAAGACAGATAATAATGCTTATCCCAGTGGTACATGCGAGAAATATTCCAGTTAATTGTATATAAAATGCATTATATGGCACAAAAACTGCAAATTGAGCCAAGGCCAAGTTGTCAGCTTCAGTAAGCACAGTGCACGTTACTAGGGAGAGAAGCGATGGTGTATGTACTGTGCTGAAAATACCATTTTGTTTTTATTTTTCATTTTGAAATAACTTCGGGTGTCTAAAAATAACATAGAACCACCATATGCTCTTCATGCAGAAGTTAACGTCTTGTATAACCAGCAGTGTGGGTCGGGGTGATGTCTGCCCTGTGCACTGCGAAGTTAGAGCCGGCTTGGGGTGCCTAAATGAAACACCATGGCCTGGGTGGCTTAGACCATGTTGGTTCTCTCACCGTTCTGGGGACTGGAAAGCCCAAGACCAAGATTCTGGTAAGGGCTCTCTTTCTGGCTTGCAAATGGGGACCTTCTGGTTAGGCTTGCACAGCCCCTCACATGGTACGGTTTGTCCCTACGTAGGGTATGGGGAGAGGGGTGAAGGACCAAGCTCTACAGTGTCTCCTCTTATAAGGACACTAATCCCATTGGATAAGCGCCCCACCCTCACAGCTTCATTTAATCCTGATTACCTCCTAAAGGCTCCCTCTCCAGGTACGGTCACATTGCAGGTTAGGGTTTCAGCATATTTGAGGAGACTCCAAACCCTAAGCCCATTAACAGTTACAACCCTTTATTATCATTATTTACAAACAGGTGAACTTTAAAAATTATTTGGAAGAAGGGTGGCTGTTACAGCAAAGAAACTTTCTATTGACTGTCAGTCCGAAGCGAGACATCACGTCCTGTGCCACGCTAGTGTACTGCGCACTCAGCGTGCTGCTTTCTGGGCAGGGTGCACTCCGTGCGTGGCTCCTCATCGGAGAGAAGCTGCTGTTTTCCTTCCCGCCGACCTCCCTTGTGCCCGTTTCCACCTTACCATCTGTTAGTATTTGCTGGTGTAAGAGGAGCGAGGCAGGTGATGTGTCCAGTCCTGCCTGAGTCTGCTGGGGTGGACGCCAGACCCCAGGTGCAGCCACCGACCAGGGAAGCCTCGTGCTTCACGAGCTCCCCTCTCTGAGGTGTAGGAGGTTGGGGTGCCTGAAACTAGGACTCATGGAAACAGGGGTTTTTTTCCCTCCTCCTCTGTGGCTCATTGTAGTGTTTTGCTGATAATCATGAATTTGCTAATGTCCAAAAACAGAACAGTAGGGCCATTGCTATAAAGCGAGCAAACTTGACAGTTCATTCTTTCTAGAAGCTGCTGACTGGCTGGCTTCACAGTGACAAGGGAAAGCAGCTTTCATTGCCAAATCTCCATTGTGTATGTCATGAGATTCGTTTCTGTCCACTTAATCTTTAGCAGTCGTGGTACTTCTACATCTGAATAGCTGCAAAGTGGGGCATTTGAAATCTATAACTTCACAACCCATAATAAACACAGGCAGACTCAACTTCAGCGCTGTGTGCCCTCGAGCTAGAAGAGAGCATGTAAACCACATAAAGAAACTGCCACTGTCACCATCGGGGCACCGTAAGTCAGTGTGAACGTTAGAAACAGGCAGGGGAATGGCGGGGTGTCGCTGGCAGCGTCACACCGGACACGAAGGCTGTGGGCAGCCTGCTCTCGTAGGTATGCGTGCTTCAGCGAGGAGCTGCTGAGCATACACAGCGCCCTGCCCTGCGGGTGGGTGATCCAGTCAGCGAGACCCCGGGCCGGTTCTGAAAACCAGCTAGCACCTTTCCCTTGCCCATCATCTAGTGAAAGTTAAGTATTTTTTTTTTAATCTTACCTTGAAAGAAATTTTTTAGAAGAGGCCCCCCCTGCCCTGTAGAATGGAGCACATTTATCGTCATAAGTAACTATGAGCTCTCTTGACTGTGGTTACTTCTGAAGAGCAATGATGTTCTCCGTAGGGTGTTCTGAAAGAAAACAGGGAGACTGAATTAACTGATCAACAAATGAGTAACAGTGCCACTTCCTGGAGCTGTGTGGGGCTAGACCCATCCATCTCCTTGGCCGAAGAGGTGAAGCGCTTACTGTGATGGGCGTACTTACCATAGACAGCGTAGCCTTCGCTTGGGATATGCGATTTGTAATTTAAGTTTATCTTCAGGTGTTTAATTAGTCTGCTATTTAAAAGTAATACAGCTTTTTTTTAAGGATAATGTGTTTTATAGCTAACTTGGTTGATAGATTGCTTCCCTTAAAATAAAAAATGTTGATCTCATCTTAACAACTTGCACCAGTTGATGTACTGCCACAGCTGTCTTAGAATAATCATAGGTCTTGGAAAGATTTTATGCATCCACATTTTTTGAAGAATGAATGTAAACATTAAACCACGTGTAAGCAACACCTTAAGTAAAACATGCTGTTGATAGCTATTATCTTTTTCATTTTCGAGATTTCAATAGTGTATGGTGAATCTAAAGGTGACTATATTAAAGCTGAATACATCCTTTAGTGTCATTAATTTGAGCCTCTCTGATAAGTCTTCTGATTTCATTGGCTGTCAACAGGCCAGATAGGAGTAAAGAGAGGAAGTTGTTATTGTAGTTAATAGGGAGAGCTCCTGGTTCCTTTCTGTACAGTAACACTTTCGCATTTAGGTGCCGTGGCCCCCTGGCTGAAGGGTCCAAGGAGTGAGAAGTGACAGGAGATTAAGAAAAGGCAATGCAGCTCGAGGTTTGTTTGCAGTGATAGAGATAAGGGAAGTGCAGGGGGATCCAGGAGAATAGCCACAGCCTGCAGGCAGGACGTCAGGCTTGGCTTTCTGGTGAATGGGCTGGGAGGAAGACAGGGCCTGACATCTTCTGGGCCAGGCCTTGCTCCTCCAGGCTGTCTTGTCACCTGCTGTCCCACGGGGCCCTGCCTCCTCAGCAGGAGAAAAGCGAACAAGATGCGCATTCCTCATTCCACCCGAGCCCTGCCTCAGCCATAGGAGGCAGCGAGTTAGGCCCAGCCACGGTGATTCACAGTGCAGTGCTCCCAGCATTTAGGGCACCATTTTTCTGCGGCTTTTCTGGCACTGTGAATGGTGAGAAGGGTTCAGAATATTATAAAGATGATTTAAATAATGGATGTGAAAATGTAAAATGCTATTTAAATGTAAAATGCTAGGTAAGTGTGCAAAAACAAACATCTTCCTCAAGAATCACTGTGGTAGTAGTGACTGGTAAATATTTTAGTTCATTTATTTTTATGCAAGTAAACTAATGCTGATAAGTCTTTTGCATTTAACCAGGCCAAACTTTGTTTCTTGGTAAATAGGAATTTAATCATTGGCACTTTAACTTTTGGTTTTCTGAGAGATCAGTGAGTATTAGAAAGAATTGCTGGATACAATAGTAAAGTCTCCTTTACAGTCTATAAGTAGACCAATTAGTTAAATTCATTCCACAGTTCACTCATAGTTTGTTCCTGAGGATGAACCGAAGTGTACAAAGGTGAACAGATCGATTCCCTACCTTTAAAGTGCTTATACACTGGTAGAGGAAAGAGACATCTGTAGGCCAACTTTTCTCTCATTATAAAAAATTTTGTTTTACCTTGCTGCTTCTGTTCTTACATTCTCCATGGACTGTCTTTACATAGGAACCGTTAGAGTTCTCCGTAACTGCTGTCGCTGAACATCATAGGGCTTCTTAAATTCACACGGGCACAGCCCTTATATAGTTAGATGCAGCAATGAGAAACATAATTTACCGTGGATCACAGCAAGTTTTTACAAAGCCCCAATAAATGGCTTTCGTTATCTTTATACAAGTGCAACTTAAAGTATTTCTTAGATTTCACATCCTTGGTGAGCAAGGAAAGGCAATGCTGTCACGTTGGGTTGCCTGGAGTTTGTGTGAAACAAACATTCTTAAGAAAATATCAAGGAAACATCAAGTATTTAAAACCTGCATCATGTACTGCGTAACCTTTGAGAGACCACTTGGTGCAGTTGTGTGCTTTTCCTGAGAATGTATTTGTACATAGTCTGCCCTTTATTCTGATGAAAATGCTCAGCCTTAGATGATTGCAAAGACAGCAGCAAAAGATGGTTGAATTATTATGACAAAAGAAAAGTTCAGATATTTTGTAATAGCCAAGAGAATAGTTCCCTGTTCAAACTTTTAAAGGGTTCCAAGTTTAGAATCCAGTGGGAACTGCCTGGGTAAACTCTAAGTGGATTGCATCCTGAACTCGTGTTCTTAGCATATGGACAATGAGAAATTAATGTCAGTTGATCTGATTAGGAATTAGAATTCGCTGTCATCTAATCTCTGGTTTATTTCGCTCTTTTGTGTTTGTAGTTGACAGAATGTATAGAATGTTGTGGGAGAAGTGAGGAGGGGAGAAAATTATTTATGCAAAACTCATGCAATGATGAGTGCTCTTTTTCCTAAAATAATGAATACAAACAGTAGCATTTTTGTTGTTTTGACGATTTATGAATGGGAGTATTTGTGGATGGAAGATATATGTTAATTGCCATGACATGTTTTTGAAAATTAATGAATCATGAAACTGAGTATTTTTTTTACCAGTTTAACAGAAGTGACTTATGTTTAACTTACAAAGCACTTCAGTACTTTCATGAGTGTACAGCATCTAAGGGTTAAAATAACCTATTTTTTAAAAAGCAGTTGGTAAAGCTAGTAGTTATTTTAAGCCATTACCCCCCCCATATTTTGCATCAAAACATAAAAGTAATTTCTCTCTCAATGAAAAGGTGACTCTGCAGTTCAGGATGATGATAAAAGCATAGATGTGCTAAAACCTGAGCTGAGAAAGCCTTTATAATAACTTAGTGAAAAGGATGGCGTATCCTCAGTTTTCAGAAATGTTTTCAGTGTCAAAAGAAAATTATGTAAGAAATGCAGTCTGGTATGCCTTATAAACAATGTGCTCTTATTCTGAATACAGTAGCTTTGGAATCTTGTTTGCTAAACAGTTACTTCTTTTTTAGACAAAACTTGAGTTGCTTCTTGGCTTTCTTTTCTTTATTTACACATGCTTGAAATAGTAGGCTAAAGAATTCAACTCACCAGGAAAACACAACTAATTCAGCATATCAGAAAAGCTCTGAACCAGAAGATTTAGCCTAAAATTTCTAAACAGCCTATATTTTAGAAACTGAGGGAGGAGAAATTAACATAGGAAATTGAGATTGGAAACTAAAAGTCCTGTTAATCCCATGCAGCCAGGTGTTGTTGTTTGGGGATTTTTTTGGTTTGAGGCATTGGACCAAGCGCCTGTGCCACTGAGCTTTACCCAGCCCTTGATACCCATTTATACCCAGACTCTGGAAGTCTCAGCCCTCTCCTGGATGCACCCTCCCATCCACCCTTGAAGGGCATTTGTCGGGACTCTTGTGAGATGTCCTGGGAATGCATGGCTCACAGAGGTGACCATGTGACAACTACTTCAGGGCTCTGAGGTCCAGGTGGAAGGGAAGCTGAAGTGGAGTCAGACCTCAGGGTTCAGTGTGGATGCGAGGTTGGTATGAGCACTGGGCTCATCCAGCTCTACCTCAATGCTTGTGACCTGGGAAGGGCCACTTACCTTCTTGGCAGAGTTATTTAACTGTATTTTTCATCTGTTCAGTGAGATTAATCTTACTTCAGTGTTGTGAGGGGAAAAAACAGGTCTGTGTGAAAGGTTTTTGACTGATGTGAAATGCTGATGTTGCTGAGCAAGATGTGGGAGTGCACACTTATAACCCCAGCCCTCCCTCAGGAATCTGCGGCTGGAGGATCGCTGCGAGTTCAAGGCCAGCCCGGGCCACATAATGAGACCCTGTCTCAAAAAGCCAACGGTGATGTTGCTGTGACTGGGGTGCTGTGTACTAGACCTGCCACACAGCATGAACACTGTGGGGTCGCTTTCTGTCAGGTTGCCCGCCTGGTGCCCAGAGGAAGAGGTGACTGCATCAGAATTGCCTGGCGACTTTACCTCTTTATTCCCCCAAACCCACAACCAAGTATCCTGTTCCCAGCCCAGGTGCGGTACGTGGGTAAAGATGCCTGTGCTGTGAAAAATCTCCCTCAGTACAGTACACGCCAATGTTTTTCAAATCATCTACCAAGCTCTGTGTGTGTGTGTGGTCTGAGCATACTGCACTAATGTGTATTGTGGGTTATACATTATATTCATATATAAATATTAATGTTGTATATCTTTTATAACCTAAGTACTAAAAAGGTCAGATTATTTTTTAAGTAATTTAACACTAAAATATATCTTGCCTTCAACAAGTAAATTCTTTAGGTGACAGCAGTGTAATTCACTTTTTGGCTCTTTTGAAAATTTTGTTTTAATAGTGACTTTTTTAAAGGACTCGCTCTGAATTCTTCACATTTTAATGGCTTTCATTGCTGAGAAATACACATCACCACAGTTTATCATGCCACATGGAAGAACAGCAACACTGGCCACGTTTGGTAAATCATCCTGCTCTTCTACGCCCCTCCCACCAACTGACAGAGGTTTCAGTTAACTTTGAGAGTCAAATTCCATTTTCCCTTAAAATTTCAGAACCATTGGGAGATTTTGGCATTTTTAAACTTTTAAACAAAGGTGTTCAAAAGCCATTAACATGTGGATTGAAACCTGGCCATATGCTGATTGGCTGGAGCATTCTAGTTCCCTTTTCTTGAGTCTGCTGATGCGAGTTTCCTTATATGACACAGCCCCATTGTATCTGGCAATAAGATCACAAAAGTGGAAACATTTTCAAACATCTGGGGTTTTTTTTACTGTTCTCTTTTTAAAGCTTTGGTTTCTCTTGAAAAGCAGCTACTTTCTTACTTTGTGTAGATTTTCACCTTTATTCCAAAATGAGGCCGAGGCGTGTTTGTATTTTTGCTGCTGGGGAGCATACCGCTAACACCTCTGACCCCGCCAGGGCTTAACAATCTCTAAAGGAAACCATGATTCATCTCTTCAATCATACTACTTTTTGAAGGACTTGTGCTTTGCTTGCTTTCCTCTCAACCACACACACTCATTCTTAAAATATGGCAAATAATTTAGCAGATATCAGAGCAGAGAAGTCTTCAATCATTTTACTTTGATGCAGTTATAAAGCAAACCCCCCGCCCCGCCTGTACAGTTGAGCCTATGCAGTGTCGTGTATCTGCCATTGGTATTTATGAACAAAAGATTCACGTGGATTTGATGTGTTGCTTTTTCTGCACTCGCAAGCATTTTTACCTTGGTAGGAATAACAAGTATTTCTCTAGTGGCATTTTTTTTTTTTTTTTTTAGTCTTTTGGTATTAATGGAACATAACAAAAAGCTTCTGTACATTAGTCATGAAATTAGTAACATTCTGTGCAACACTAAGTGTGCTAGTCTGGTACTGTGTTATGTTAAAACATCCTTGAAAACACTGCAGATGTTTGTCTCCAGGCCCTGAATGCTTCATTTTTATTTCCCATTTTGGTAGCTCCGTACCCTTCCTCAGCTATCCCTCGAGGCACAGTATACACTTTGGGGAAGCTTCTTATTAATTAACAGCAGCAAAATGCACGGAAGCCCAGGTTTTAAGCAAAGACTTCTAATTTTTCAGTTTTTTAACAATTCTCATCACATCTGATGAAAGGATCGCCGCCCTGCCCTCGGTGCTGGGACTGTGGAGAGGGAGGCAGAAGGGCCCAGCTCAGGCCGGTCCCGCTTACCTCTGCTTGTGTTTTTAGTGGTAGCTTCAGCCTGTGGTTTCTTCACAGGCATCTTGTAAGTACTTGTTTGTTTTGTGAGATTCATTTGCTTAGTTCAAACCAGATGGCATGATCTGTGAATCCCCTTACCTGGGCACACGTCAGCCTCTGCTGGCTGCGGTACCGGGTCAAGATGGCGTACAGGGCACAGGCGTCAGCCCCGCACGCCTTGGGACCCCTGCTGTCCCTCAGGATGCCTCACCGCAGCTTCCCTGGGGACTGATGAGGGCAGGTGTCAAACCACGCCATGTGAAGGTCACCCTTTTAGATGCAGAGTAGAGGTAGACATTCTCTTACCTCCTCCAGAGAGCAGGCGCGTGGTTTGGAGACTGTCACCGTACAGCTAGCCGTGTTGCGCCCGTGTCAGAGGCTCCCGTGCGCTTTGGTTTCTCTCTCTGCCGTTGTTATGAACGATGGTGTGGTAAACATCATTGATAAACAGTGTGGAACAGATGTGATCAAGTGTTCACTGACAGGTGAGCCTCACCCCCAAGCCCACTCCTCAGCTTTGTCTGGGCTTTGGGTGCGTTTCATTGAGAAGGGCCTGCATGTGTAACCTCTGTAAAACAAAGCAAAACAAAGGTAGTGCAGGGTGTGTAGTGGGCAGGGCACATGCTCAGCACGTGTGAGGCCCTGAGTTCAGTCCTCAGTGCCCACAACAGAAGCACATAGACACGTCTCTATCTGGCTTTTTCACTCTGCACTGTTTCTCAGAGCACTTTCCTTATTAGTTCATGCAGATTGGCGAAGTTTGCCCTGGTGCTTGCTTCGTGCTTCTGGATGATGTGTGTGCTGTTATTTATGAGCCTGCCGACTTTAGGCATCATCTCTTGGCTTTGTGCCTTGACGGATGATGCTGTAGCTCACCTGCACCTTGCCTGCATCTCTTCTCTTCTCCACTCATCCTCCTTTTCAGTTAAAGGAATACAGAGCTTTTGGTTGAAATAACATCACTGACCTTGCTGTGGCTCAGATATCTTTAGCACTTTGTGAAGTATTGAATTCAGTGATTTAGGATTGCAGGGTTAAACATCACCGAAAATAGCAGCTGCCTGCACCTCTCGCCTGCTCAAGGCTCCTCGGCTGCCTGGTGGCACTGCTGTCCACGCAGGCTGCACACGGAATGATGCTCTGGAAGACACAGGGCACTGGTGTCCGCTGGGCTCTGCTGAGAAGGCGGCTGGGCAGCAGCTGCCTCAGTGTAGAGCCTGAGGGCAGAGTTCCTCGTTGTCCCGAGGGAGTGGCCCAGGCCACAGTGTGAGGCAGCAGAGCAGGGTGTGGTTAGGCGCAGGCCCAGGGCTGGAGGGCAGACTTCATTTACCCCTGTGCCCAGCCACAGCCCGGGGCAGTCCGCCCTGGGCCTGGGTCTCTCGGGCTCAGCCCCATCTCCGTGCTTAGCAGTGGGCCACTCCCACCCTGTGCTCTGCCTTCACCACAGCAGTGGATCGGCCCAAGTCAGTGGCCTCAGGTGGCCTCGAGCATTTAGCTGGGAGCCGCTTCTCCTCTTCTGTTGGTTAATAAGCTACTTATTTTCTGCCTTTTAAAGATTCTTTGACATTCTCTCCTCTGCTGCTGCTATCTGCTTTGCAGTTGTCCTCATTGTGGTTATTTTTCTTCTTTATTCCTCTCTCTCCTTTCCACTGTTGTCATCCTCTGGAAGGGAAGGAGGTAAAAACTCGGACAGTTCATCACTCAGAGCTGCACAGGCCGCAAGGTGGTGACCTTCCTCACATGGTTCTCTCAGGACAGATCCTGGTCAGGGAACAGCTGCCCTTCTGCTCTCTGCACGGAGAGAGCAACAGAAGTGCAAGCACAGAGAACCAGGAGTTAGCGCTGCCCTCCGGGAAACTTACTGTACGTCCTGACCACAGAGTCTTCTGAATCCTTTTTTAAAGTGTTGACCTAGTGTGCTCAACCCTTCTCCGTCGGTCGCACAGGTTTTATTACTGATTCGTTCGAGTGATTGCCTTTCTAAGTGCATGGCCGTCCCGCCTCAGTGTTTGAACAGATGTGGCGCTCTGGGACGCCAGGGCTACAGCTGTGTGACATAAAATCTCCATCCCGTGTTCTCCGCAGCCAGACCCTGCAACGGTTGTAAGAGTTAAGGCCCCAGCCAGCACTGCTGTGGGCACATGTTCCAGTGCCAGAGGGTGGCATGCTCCCCTCCGACAGACCTCTTGGGCGCGATCATTTAAGGTGCCCTTGCCACAGGATGTATGTACTGAAAGACTTTCGAAAGTAGCAAATGTTCCTGGCATATTAGATATCTGACAAAAAGTAAGATCTGCTCCTTTGAAACTTCCAAGATCAGTGTTTAGAGTGCTGCATAATCACTAGCATTCATGCCACCCAGGTGGACTGTTCATTTGACATCCACTGAGTGTGGTAGACTGTGTTTTGATGTCTGCAGTCACAAATGCTTTCAGAAACCTAAGCTCCCTGGCTTTTAGGGTTGACAGGAGGGACCGCAGAGGTGAGCTGGCCTTGAGATCCACTGGCCCCAGGATTTAAATGATGTCATCTCACGTGGCTCTTGTCTCTCTCGGTCCATCTTTTCTGAGTGTCAGTCAGCCCCGATACATTCTGGAGTAGGCTTGCTTCTGAGAGCTGAAGGTTCGCTTGCAGGCAGCTGCAGGCATATTCGCTTAACTTAGCCTCCCTTTTATGTTTCCCTGTATCAGCCTCAGAGAGGGACTAGGAGCATGGGGTTCTTGGTTAGAACGTGCTGCAGTGGAGCTTCCCTTCCCACCTCTGTCCCTGCTCTGCCACATGCTTACCAATGAATGGCCTTGAAGAGGCCCTCCGCGTCTTCTGGGAATCAGGAGAATCTCTGTGGAGACCCATTAGGCGACTCATTGGTGTTTGTGGCACCAGAGTCCAGTGTGGCTGAAACCCTGGCACGAGCAAAGCCGTCCAGGCCCCAGGCTGGAGGGTGTGGTGGGAACAGTGCCCGGCGGGGGCTCGCACCCTCTGCCACTCAGCCCTGACCAGTGACGCCAGGCCAGGTTCCAGGTCATCCTTCCCCTTTCTAAAAGAAGCCAGCCCTTCAAATGTGTGTGTAAATTTTCTCAAGTCTGAAGAGATTGGTGATTCAGGCATTTTCTAAATCACTGTCTGGACCAAGGAGATCTCTTCTCCAGCTCCTTTTCGAAGTACAGAGTGAGAACAGGTGCACCTTTGCTTGGGGTCCTTCCGAAAGGGCCACATTGTAAACACTTGTTTTCATTGGCACAGTCTCTCGTGGACCTTTAAAACGCTTTCTGACGGCGAATGCAGTTTCGCGTCAGGTTCTGTGGCTTCCAGGAGGTAGAATTTTAACACACCTCTGATCTTTGGGCTGAGGTTGGCAGGGACCAGCCGGTGACGCCCGTCCATCCCAGACCCGATGGGGCACAGACCCCACACCAGCGGAGTGGGATCCATCCGTGCCTGTGTTGTAAAGTGAAGTAAGATCTGGAGCCAGAGTTTAAATATTTCTGCTGACATTTTGATTTTAGCCAGGTAGCCGTTAATCCAAAGACTGACTTACTATTCTTGTTCAGCAGAAATAATCCCCTTCAGTGTATTAATTTAGGTGTGTGAGTTCACAGGTCCTGGAAAGGCAGACTTTTTGTGCCTTCGTTGACCTCTATATGCGCTTTGCTCTGAGAACAGTTTGGTTTGGCTTGTCAGAATAAAGCATTTGTTTTCTAGATATTAGAATGTGGCTGACATACATTTCAGGAGATGCTTTTAATTACAGTATACTTGAATCTTTTATTCTGTCTTATCTGCAAACACAAAGACATTAACGTTTCCAAAATGATCTTTGAAAATAAATGAATGTGGAAAGAGACACTGTAGAAAATTGACCTCTTGCCCCAAGACAAATAAAAATACATTTCACAAACATTTGCAAGCTGCCTGGTTTTTTCCCCCCTCTGTAATTGACTCTAATTTGCTCTGCCTGTCCCTCTGAAACCTCAGAACTTTCAAATTGCTCTTCCTCTTGCAGCATAAGTTATAATGATAGCCACTTCGCTCCGAGTGTGGGCTACAGGCTTGAGTCATCCTGAGGCTTGGTTTTTTAAAGTTCATTACTTCAACCAATATTCACTAAAGGTTATAAAAATTATTTCCAAATGATGCTCCAGTTAATGGATATCTCCCCATATTCAGAATTAGAAACTACAATGACTATCAAATAATAAAAATTACTAAAAATCTTTAGGTAACTCCCCTGCCCCCAAAATTTGCTGAGAAAGTTGGTAGGAAAAAGTGAGAGAAAATTTTGCTTGTTTTTTAGGGTGTTGTGATTACTGCCACTAGACGTAAGAAACACGGACTTTAGTACCTACATGGTGATGTGTCCCCATTTCACAGGTAAACAAAACACCAGGATTCTTTAGTTCCCACCCTCCAGGTACCAAAGGGTGTGGTCATGTGCATTACGCCTGACGTGGGTGATCCTTCGTCAGCCAGGCAAGTGCCTTGGCTGCTGTGTGCTGTTACAAACCTCAGCGCTGTTGCCTCTCCTGCTGCTCTGTTCCCATGGATCCCTCCCCTCCTCCCCAGAAACAGTGAGGACGGCCCTGGACAAGAGCATGGGGAGGGAATGTGCAATCCTGGCTGCATTTGTAGGTCACACCATGGAAAGTATTTTCTTAGAAACGAGCCTGAGGTCATTTTGCATAAGCTAGGGGAGGAATCAGTGACAGTTTCTGTGCAGGGCTCTGCTGGTGGGGGACAGGGACAGAATAAGCTGGAACTTCAGCTGCGATTCATTACCAGACCCTGCCAGTACTCCTGTCTCCCAGTAGCCTAACTTGAGTGTTCTGCTACTTCACTTCCTAAAGTGAATGAACCCCAGGTCAGAAAATGTTTAGAGTAAATGATTTAGTGGGAAGAATCCCTGTAATGTTATCAACTGTAGGTCACAGAGGAAGTTTGAGTTTTCTTTGGATGAGTTGAAGTGCAAAGCATCTATTTTCAGATACTGAAAATAGAGATTATGGAAGTGGTGGGAGATTTCTAACAGTAGTGGTGAACTCACATCACGTTTTTTATTATGAAGTCTAGGTTCTTTTGTAGAAGACAGGAGTAACCAAAATTCTGGTAAAGTATAGGGAATCTGGTGTGGTGTATTTATTATTTTATTTCCCTAGGAAATGAAAGTCAAAATGGTATCCAAAATAGCGATCATGTGGAGTTGTACCTCACAGTGCTTCTTCTTTTCGGCCCTTACTGACCCTGAAGCCTAAGTGCTTATTCTGCTCCTCTTTGTCACTGTGCAGTCTCCCACTTTATTTTCATCACTGGATTGCTGTCCTAGTTATGCGCACATGTTTAAATGGTAGAATGTTGTTTGTGTCTTGAGAGTCTGGGGAGGAATGAATGGGCTTCTCAAGACCATCCCTGCTCTGCTCTCTTGCACCTGTCCTGGATGGACGGCCTGGCAAAAACAGCTCTGTGCCCTCCGATGGCCTTCTCATGGGCCGGGGCTTTGGCTCAGTGGCACCCACCTGCCTCGCAAGCACAAGGTCCTGAGTTTGATCCCCGGTACCCCTCCCCACCCCCACCCCCGCCAAAAAAAAGACAGAGCCTTGCTCTGCAGCCCAGGCTGGGCTCAGGTACAGACTTGGCCACCGCCCCTGGCTTCCTTGGATGGTCTTCAGATACAGCAGTGTAGTCCACAGCTGCCCACACTGGCTGCTTCCTATTTTAGCTCAGTGAGTCATAATTGGTAGAGAATTTGCCTTTACTATAATCAGATTAAATATCTCAGTGTCCCCTCTCCATGTGAGAGGTTTTTCTGGTTCTGATTGCACATTCTTGGTTGAATGAAAACCAGCTGCTAATTATGTATTAGTCTGAGAACACAGTGTTTAGGGTGAATGTATCTGAATTAATTGTCATTAATAGTGCCTTGTAATTTATGAGCATATTCTTTGCCTGACTTAAGAATCAGATAAATTAATGAGGTTTAGTTTTTAAGTGTCACAGCATGAAGTGGCTGTGTAGGGACACCTCTGTATGGCTTAATTTCACTACCGTGACCAGTGGGGTCTCTCTTATTTATTCCTTGTCCAGTAGCATTTATTATTCCCATTTTTTTGCAGCTTAATAGCAACCTCTGTTTTCCTGCCAGTATGAATTCAGTCTCACATCTGCAGGAGTTGATACTGACTGCATTCAGCAGATCTAACCCACAAAAAATAAAAACAAACCTACATTTTGCAGCATTGGAGGTAACTTGCCTGTGATGTAAATTTGAATGTCATGATGAGAAAAGGAATAGATATACCTATGGGCTATGTAGTATTTTGAAAGGAAAGGCCCATAAATTTTACTGTGTTTTGTGGGGTTTTTTTCATTAAGGAAAACTCAGGTAATTGTCTCTAAGAAATAATTACCTTGGAAATTGATTTTGCATCCTTCAAGGATACGGTTTCTGATTCATTAAGATTTCAGTGGAGCTTTTTTCCCCTTTTTTTGAAGTAACAAGGAAACGTTGGAGGAATGGTATCTGGTTCGTGTTACGGGCCCTTCCAAATTTAGATTGTGCTGTTGAAACCACAGCTGGTCTATTCAATTAAACATGCTTTTACTGTTTAATTACTACAAAAAAAAAAGAGAAATCCTTTCAACACAATGAAGCATAAATTGCAGGTAGCTGCTCATAGGAACTTGCCGTGACTCCAAACCTCACAGGCTGGCGGGGATTTGAAAGGGCCTTAGGCTCAGCCCACCCCGCTGTCCGAGTTTTGTTTCTGAGGCCACTGAAGCGAGTTGTCTGAGAAAGGCTGAAGGTGAGGCTGGATCCCAGGTAAGGCTCCACCCCTCGGCGTCTTACCTGGCCTCAGCAGGCCTCGGAGTCCTTATCGGAAAGTGGGGATAATAACAGTCCCCACTCTATGGGGCTGTAAAGATCAGATAAGATACTGTGTCCAGGGTGTTTGACATGGCTCTTGGCACATGCCCAGCGAGGATTAGCAGTGAGGCTGAAGCCAAGTATTGGGTGAGTGAAGTCAGAGCAGGCCCAAGACCTCAGGGTCTCTCACCTCCCCCGCCCTCCACATGCCCTCCTTCACTGTCGAATCACCATACAGTCGGGGGCCCTGGTGTACTTTGTATGAAACCTCTGTGCCAGCTCTCCCGCCCCTCTTCGGCCTTCTTTCTATTGATGTTGACAACAAAGCTTTATTGTGTCATCTGTTGGGCCTAGCGCGTCAGCCTCCGTGCCCAGTGGCTAGGCTGAGAGGCCGTGCTGAACCGCACCTGTGTGCTGCGGGTGCCTGGCACTGCTTACCCAGGAACACAGGGTCTCCCGGGGCGCAGAGACACCCAGCAGACAGCCTTTGGGCACGCGGGGTTTCCAATACATTCACAGACTGGTGTGAGCCACGTAGGGGCGTGACTGTGACTTTCAGCATAAATGGAGGATACAAATGTGTTTGCAAGAGTGTTCTGACAACAGTTAACTAGTTCACGGCTCTAATGTGATATTGCCCTTTTGTTGTAAGAACTCATTAAATATTTGCAACCTGAAAGAGTGGTCTGTGTGCCCTGAATAATATAACCAGTCCTTTCAGTTTGTTTAGCTAACCTAATAAAATTTTAATAAACTCCAAAACCACTTTTATCTCCATAAAGACAATTTGAATTTTATAACGTCTTATTCCTAAGGGGGAAGTGTATTGTTCTTTCCTTCAAAATAGTAATGGTTAACGTAAATCTTTTCCTGTCATGATTATATAGCCTACTGAAATTTATGTGTGTTCCAAATGTAAGTATCTATAAACACAGACAAAAAGTACTAATGCTTTGTTTAAAGAAAACCAATAATAAGTATAAACTGATGATACATTGTTGCTAATTTTGCTGCCCGTTTAGGGATGGGCTGTTTACAATGGTTGGACTACATAGAATGCCGACCTAATAAAGTTTTCTCAAACTGGAGACTTTGAAAGTCAAGAATTTAGTTCTGAAATCTGTAAGTTCACAATCAAGAGCCCTATGTGAAATATGGAACTTAGCAAATGAGATTAATTCAGTCTTATTAAGATGGTAGCTCATTGCTATTATCTACATCGGCTCATGAATTTGAACTAGAAACAGGTGATACCTCAGCTTGTGCATGGCACAGTAAGAGGCTACAGGAGATTGCTACCCAGGGAATTAAATGCCTTCCAGTTATCAAGCAGTGCTAAAGTTGATAATTTCATTAAAACTGATAAATGGCTGCTCACTCTCACACACAACAAAATAAAGCACCCCACTGAATAAAGTAATACAGGAGCTCATGGGTACACTGTCGGAAAAAGCATTGACTCCTAACTTGAAGCCTCTTTTAAGTGGTAGCTCCTCTGTTCACGAAGCATTCAGCATTCATTCACAGGTTGTTAAATCTCGCAAGTCACCTGGGGGAAGAGGTTGGCCGGTTGGAGAAAGCCAAGGGAAATGTGAAGCTATTGTGAACGAGGCGCTGTTTGGAAGAGAGAGAGAGTAGCCATGAAACAGCCCCCATAACTCAGCACCAAGCTGTCACTCATCACAGGCACAGCTGTACCAGGGTGTTCATTATCTTCAGGCTGTGGTCTAGTCTGAGATTCTCTTCCAGCTTCAGCCCCGTGTGTATGGAAACCAAGGTGTGAGTGTAGTTAGCTCTCATTTATCATCTCATCCTGGTTCTTGTCTTCTCTACTAAGGAGGACCAAACATTCCTTGCTCTTGGGCAGTCTGATTTATGAAGACAGGACTTGGAGAGTAGCTGAAGAGCAGGACTCCTTCCCGGATGTGTGTAGGACACACGGCACAGCTGTCCTCCCCCAGAGCCCTTCCCACACCCTGGCCAGTGCATCCCACCCCGCATTCCAAGGCGCCCTGCCTGGACCTCAGCATTGCTTCCCGCTGCTTTGTATCTGACTCTTGTATCTGAACATCTTTCCCCAGCAACAGGGGTGGAAACACCTCATAGTCAGGGCCAGTGTTTTATACCAGCTTGACAACCACCAGGTCCCTTTGGCCTCACTGCACAAAGGAAGGTGGCTTGGAGATCTCCTTTTTTTGAGACTGGGTCTCACTGTGTAGCCCAGGCTGGTCTAGAACTCATCACAATCCTCCTGGCTTGGCTTCCCCAGTGCTGGGATTACAGGTGTGCACCACCAAGCCCGGCTTCCTTTGCCTAAATATGAACCCAGCAGTATATGAAAAATTCTGCTCATCAAGGAATTCATTTGTTGTTGTTGCTGTTGTTGTTATTTCTTTGCTGATTTTTGTTTTTGCTTTTTGGAGCTGAGAATCCTTAAAAGCTCCTTCTGTTCTGCTAGAAGTACAAATGTTTAAAGTGGATTTTATTGCTAGCATCAAGGGAGGTATATCGCTTGGAAACCAAAATGCAAAGACAGTTAACCAAGAGAAGGGTCAGAGTTTTCAATGTCATGTGTCCAGAAGCAAACCTGCCATTCACACGAAGGTAAACTAAACCTGAATTCTACACTTGGCCTCTGGAACCACTTCTTTGCTTTTGTTCTTAACCCCATCCAACCCAGATCCCTCCTGTGCAGTCCCAGGGCCCAGTGACTTCCTTCTTCCCCACTGGAGGGTCCTCTCTTGGTACGGCCCCACCCAGCATTTGTTTTTCTTCTTAGTTCCTGCAAGATAGGTAGAGACCACAAGAATCTTGATGTTGTTGAGTGGCCAAATGTGTAAATCATGTCTGTTAATCAGTAAGTCATGTCCATTAATTCAACAAATATTTACATCAAGATTTGAAATCCCTCTTGCACAGATAGCATTTTCTTTACAGAGAGAAGTTGTCTTGGAAACGAAATCAGTAGAGCTGTGGGTGGAGGATCTGGAGGGGAAGTGGGTGGAAGACACGAAGGAGAGCAGGGACCTCAGCAGTTGACCCCAGCGTTCCTCCTTCCCCACTACCATCCAGCAGCCTAGAGGCCCCACGCCAGAAGGGGGAGTCGGAACTGTCGTGGGAGCTTCGAGCCACTTGGTAAAGTCCAACGAGGGAGTGAGGAAGGTGGGATGAGAGTTCAGGAGAGGAGTGAGGAAAGGGGTACTGGGCAGGCAGCAGACTCCTTCGTCCACTAAGTTTTCTTTGCAAGTATCTGTTCAAGCCGGGCCCTTCCCACCTAGGTTGTAATGATTTTTTATGTTTTTCTAGATCAATGAACTGAGCCATGTTCAAATCCCTGTCATGTTGATGCCAGATGACTTCAAAGCCTATTCAAAGATAAAGGTGGACAATCACCTTTTTAACAAGTAAGTAACCTTTTGTAGGACCGCCATGGCTGCTAAGAGATGAGTTTTGTGAATTTCTATAATCACATCATTTTTTCAATGGGTGGGAGTAAAGTTTTGCTGATGGAGTTGATCCTGTGATAATCAACCATCTGTCATTTACAGAGAAGCAGCAGCAGGCCCTCTGAGATAACATCCTTTTGCCATACGGCATATTGTTCTCCATGAATATCCTATACATTAAAAGTGATAGTCTCATAACAATTTAAATTTTTAAAGCTGTAAATTGCTTGGAGTTCTGAGCAC